CTGCACCCCAACTCCCTGCCCCAGTCCTGAGCCCCCTCCCACACCCTGAACCCCTCATTTCTGGTCCCACCTGGAGCCCACACCCCCAATTAGAGCCCTGACCACCTCCCACACCCCAACCCCCTGCCCCAGCTCAGTGAAAGTGAGTGAGGGTGGGGGAGAGTGAGTCACTGAGGGAGGGGGAATGTAGTGAGAGTGGGTGGGGCCTCAAGAAAGGGGCAGGGCCTCAGGGCAGGGGTGGGGCTAGGGTGTTCGATTTTGTGCGACTAGAAAGTTGGCAACCCTAAAAGATACCTCTGGCTGGGAGGGGTTGGATCCAGCCTACCTTGCCTGTGCTTTCTCTCTGAGCTGATGGATTTTGCTGTCCAGGTGCTGGTATGAACCCCCAGGGGGTGCTGTTAGGGAGAGTGAGTTACACACAGAGTGAAAGGGGCTGAGCTAACTGAGAGGAGCTGTGTGACGCCCTTTGCCTTGTCCACGAAGGCCAGCCACCCTTTGCTCACTTCGACCCAAAGGAAACCTCACATCTCTAGAAAACAAGCTCCTTCTCTGACCTCCCCCTGCACTGGAGACTGACAGCCTCCTGCCGCTGTGTCCAGAGGTCCCCACCTTGCACCCCCTGATGCCAGCCAACACCCTCCACACCTGTTTTTCAAAGCAGTTTTCTGAAGATAACCCCCCCCTCAGCAGGAACTGGTCATCATCCACAGGTCCCCATTCAGTGTGGGAGGGGGAGGAGGTGGCTAATAGCCATCTTTCTAATGTTTAACTGCCAAACACTATATAGACTTTTACAGATCAGCTGATGTCCAGCCCATCCAGGCCTCATTTTAAATCCCTTCTTATCCATTTACCCTCGCCATGATATACAAATGTTACGCTTCAGACCCAATCCCATAACTCTCCAAATCCTTTTATTTAGTATTATATATTCTAGCTCTGTGTATTCTCATTCTCAGTAGAAATCCTTCTTTCAGTTTTTCTATGTTCTTGGCCTCAGTGAGTTCCTGTGGCAGTGAGTTCCAGAGTCTAATTATCTGGTGAGGAAAAATGTATTTTTTCTTATCAGTTCTGAGTTTGCCACCTTTCAGTGTCAGTGAACATCCCTCTGTGACGAAGTGGGGTTTTTTCTTGTTTTCTGTGGAGTTTCAATGGTTTGCATGCAGAGGGGGTGGGACTCAGTTTCCCTGGGTATTACTGGTTTAACGAGGTGAGGGGAGAGGGAGTGTGTTTTGCAGAGGACCGGAGAGAGGACTTGGGGACCCAGCCGATGGCCAGGAGGATGGATACCCCAGCGACCGGTGACCTGGCGACCTGGTGACCCGGAGGCCCAGCTGAGGAGACGCAGCCGGTTCTGGCCAGTGGGCGGACAATGGGCTGCAGAGTGAGGACCCAGTGACCTAACCAGCCGGTTCCAGCCAGAGGACAGAAGCGAGGAGAGGAGGCCCCGGTTTACGACCCTGTTTACCTGGAAAGAAGACAATGGACAGAGGCGGGGCCTGGGGCCGGTAATCTCAGCTGCCCAGCTGGGAGCAGGGGGGCTCTGGGCTGGAGAGGGGAAGCAGGAAAAGCCCACCTGGATGCAGAGAGACTGGGATGTGCTGGGCTGAGGGAAGCCAGGCCTGAGGCCCTGAGAGTTTCCTGTGCTGTGTTCAACTCTCAATAAATCCTCCTGTTTTATACGGGCTGAGAGTCACTTCGGTCTAGAGAACAGGGTGGCATCAACCCCTTTGGGGGTGGAGGCCCGGGGGGTCCAGAGCGAGTGGACTCCCTGAGGGGGCCCACGGCGAGAAACAGGTGTGCTAGGGCTCCGAGAGGTGCGGCTCCAGGAGGTGGAGGGGCCTGACCTCGAGAGAGAGTGGACCCCCGAGAAGGGCTGTCTCACTGAAAGGGGCACCCCCCACGGACCACACGGGGCCTAGAGTGGGCACGATCTGTGAGTCCGTGACACCCTCACTCTTCTGTTATGAGGCAGGGAAACTAGAATTCCCCAATCTCCCTTCTCTAGACCAGTCACTATTTTATAAACTTTTCCCATATCCCCGCTCTAAAGTAACAATCCCAATCTATTCAGTGTCTCCTCATAGCAGAGGTTTCGCAGACCCCTACTCACTCTTGTCACACTTCTCTGACCTCCTTGAATCCCTTGCTGGGATGGGGTGATCAGTGCATCACAGTATCCAGGTGAGGCTGCACTACTGATTTATAGAATGGCGATAAAATATTCCCTGTATCATTCTCCATCTCATCCCTTATACGTGTCCTTTGCCTTTTTGGACTTTGGAAAGAGGTCTCAACTTGGCCTGTCAATAATGATGCCCAGGTCTTTTCCATGAACTGTTACAGTTAATTTAGATCCCAGGGAGGTGTATGAGCAATTCAAACATTGCCCTCCTACGTCCATTACTTTGCATTTATCAACACTGAACTTCCCCTGCCACCAGGTGGCCTGTTCACATGGCTTGGTTAGGTCCTTGTGAAGTTCCTCACACTCTGCTCTGGACAGTGAATGGGCAGCACAATGGCAGATGGGAGCAATAAGGGAATCGGGTAACCAGCTTACTGCACCAATGGCAGTAATTTCGGGAAAGTCACAGAGACCAGGGCAAATATCGTGGACAACCAGCGGGAAGCAAATGCATTGTAGTACTGATCTTCACAGAAGGAAGCAAGAGTCTATCCTGGAAATTAACACCTGAAAGTCTCACTCTTCCATCACCCCATATAAAATAATGGACGGAACACTGACAAGCATCACTAAACATCTAGAGGGGAATGGAATCATGAGCAGTAAGTTGCTTTGGGGAATAAATCTTGACACACACACAGCTGATTGTTTTTGTTGACATGCATTTTACAAAGGGAAAGGATGAAGACAAAGCAGAAGACATCAGCTATGGATTTTAGCAAAGAATTTGACATGGTGTCTCCTAAACCCTGTGCTTATAATTAATTCAAATTGGCTGGGGAACGAAAACTGCAGCTAAGACAGAAAACTAGCTGCAGGGCCATAAACAAAGAGCAGTGCTAACCTCCCCAGTATCGCTGGGCACTGCCACGACCATTGCTAGACCTGGTCTCTTCCTAGGGTTGCC